CATTTCGATGAGGACGTTAAGTAGAGCAAGTTCACTTTTCTACTACTAAGCACAGATTTTTGTAGAGCAAAAGAGCAAAACTGGTGAAAGTTTCATTACAAATAAAACTTGGAAAAAACCAGGCTTACTTCCTTTTCATTTGTGTGAGTTTATCTTGTATAATTTGGTGAGAAAAAATACTTTTGACTTTTTTGAGAACATTGTTAAACATCTAGTAAGACAAGGCATGTCTGCAGTCTACCACTAAGGAACTAGTAAGTAGAAAAGGCATTATTTAAATAATGTTATAGTCTTTATTATAAAAATGGTTAAAACTGCAACTTCCCAGGTGTGGCACTGGCCTTGAAGGTTTAAGCTTAACAACACCAGGAAATAACAAATGAGAAGTTGTATAATGCCCGTCCATACCCAGAGGATGGAGATGACCAGGGTGTGCCCCTGCACCCACTGATCCCCTGCTCCACCTCCATTACTTTTTGGCTTTTTTACCTAGAAAAAACAACTCACCTATGCTACAGAAAATGCATTTGATTGTCTACGTTTTCAGTTGCATTTTCCCTTTCACAGTATTCTTCCCTTGGGAAAGTACTAAGCCTTCTGGGAATTGCCTCACGGAGACAGGCCTGTGCTTCCCCTGTTTCCAGAGCCTCTCCAACCATGGCAGAGCCACAAGGGCATCCCCTGATAGCAGTGGGGCAAGGGCAAGCCCTGGTACCAGCCCCTCTCCTGGCAGAAGAGCTCCAGGGAATAACATTCCTGCAGGTAAATCGTGTTAATGTCTGTGCACAATGTCCAGAGACTGGTGACCCCATGGGGGACGTGTGTCATCGCTGCTCTGCTGTACCTGAACCAGCACCTATGGAAACACAACAGGACAAGCAGCTTCTCCCTGCGGGAAAAGGGGACTGCATGGACAAACACAGTGGTTTTAAGAGGCTGAGGGGAGGCTGATTTGGCTTTCCATGGATGATATAATGTAGAAAAGTATCTACTATCACCAGAACAAGACCAGTATGTTCTCAACATCACACTTCTAATGTAATTCTTTCTCCTCCTCTCTCTTGCCTACGTAACAAAACCCCTTTCAAACTGATGGTGTGCTGAACACAGAAGCAGCAGAAACTCAAGCCAGAATCAAGCCAGTAGATATTCTGTGGCAACAAGTACCCCCCAAAACCCAAAGACAGAGGAGCAGTGAAAGTGAGAGAGAAATCCGAGGGTGATGGGGTAAAGGCTTTTGAATGCAGCCTAACAAAAATGTCACGTATAGACTATGCCTCCAGGGCAGACTATAGCATCAGCACAAACTGAGATGAACAAAATTCAGAACTACAGAAGCATGAAGAAAAAACACACAAAAGGACTTGTGATCTTGGATGACTGAACAACTACTATTAATTGAGTAAAAAAAACCATCATGTAGGGCAAGGCAAGTTCCTTCACCCACATCCTTACCGTAGTTTCCTTCATTCTGGCAGCATTTAGCACCTGTTCTCAGAGCTGTTAGCAACAGAACACTCCACTATCCAGCAGGTTAGATTCTCCCCTCCACACAAACCAACTCCATCTATCATGGGAGGCATCTCCAATGGGAAAGATGTGACCTAAAAATGCTGAAGCTGTAGGAAGAGTCAGTAGAAAGATGTCCAGACACATGTGATGTTACAGACTGAAGGAAACATCTGGTATTTATGAATACTGGGTTGATTAAATTAGCTCCTTAAGATACAGTCTGATGTGTCTGTAAAAGTAAACTTGTCTTCTGCCTGCCACTCACTCTCCCTCCCCTTTCAGGTTTCTTCTTTGTAGTACCCCAAAATCCCTTATCACTTAAAAAAAAAGAGTATTAGATTTGACTTATCATGACTTTGTGACAAATTGTTTCAAAGATCTGTGCACAATCCTAGAATCTGTACTACCTAAATATAACTATCTTCATCCTCAGGAGAGATCCTGAGACACGTCTCAGCAAAAATAACCACCAAGCAAAACCAAAGTGTGAAATACTACGTTTGGCAAATCTATCATGATTTCTTTTTGCATTTACTTATGAAATTAGTGTGTTGTTTTTTGTTTTCTTTTTAAATAGAAGTATCAAAATAGTGTACAGTTCAAAGCTACCCAGGTCTACACAAATCACACAGAACAAACTACACATGGTCCAGAAAAGTTCTGTTACAATTTTACATGTTTCCTTCCAGAAGAAATACTCACTGCACACATCACCAACTGACCACAACACCAATATCCTTTCAGTTAACATCAGTTTCCAGAAAATCAGTGTGTATAAATATACACACACAAAATAAGAATAAAAATTATTTGGTTTGGCATTTTAATAACATCATTAATAAATGTATACAATGGCAAACATTTAAAAAAATCAATATGTAAAGGAAATTACAGTTTTAAATAAGAGCTTTTTAAGTTCTGTTTCACACCTAGGTACATTCCTTTAAGGCAGTTTTATTAATATCAAAGCATTATTTACATATACATCATCATCTACCTCTAAAAATCACACATGAGCTCCTTTGTTAGGCTGCATCATGTCCTGGACAAAGTTTAGAAATAATAATACGCATTGGGAATGTTACTAAATCCTTAGAGACTATCAGAAAAGTAAATAAAACATAGACATTGTATAGTACGACAACCTCCTCCATGACCTCGACCTGGCAGTGACAGATTTGGCAACTCCTGGGGTACAAAGCTGTGTGTGCTCCCGTTTTAAGCTGTCCCACAGCTTCCCTGGGACTTAAGAGTTTCACACACTGTGAAGCAGCTCCCAAATTAAATTTACATTTTAATTTTAAGGGCACAAACTGGAAAGATTAAGAAAGGAAAAAGAAAAGCCAGCAGAGCACAGAGCCACCAGACTGCTTGGCTGCTCTGAAACTTCTTCACAAAACAAAGTGCTAGGAGAAGCAGATCTGATCCCTTAAACGCACATGTGTCTCTGGGTGCTGCTCATTTAGCAAATACAATCCAAAATCCCACTCTGGCCTCTGTGCTGATGAAGTGGGTCAAAACCTGCTTATGATGGCATAGATGGGCACTCAGAGGACTTTGGCACACAGACCTGATCTGCCAGGGTGAATTCTGCCCTCCAGCTCCTCCTGATTGTCTCACACCATTCACCAAGCGTTTTGGATGGAGGAGTCATTCCTAATCCAAGTTATTACAAAGTTTGTAACTACATCCTGGCTGTGACCACACAGAGGCTTTAAGGTGTAATGCTACACAAAAAGCAAGCATGGACATTGTGAGGGGTAATCTTGGACAGCTTAATGAACACAGAAAAGAGCTAACAAATGAAATGTGAGGGGACAAAACTCACACAGCCACGTGTGGCAAGGGCAGGTCATGTGTGCCCAGAACGCTCTGTGTGCCACAGTCACGGCACTGTGCCCCTCCCACCCAGTCCCAGGGACTGTCTGCCTGAGCACGCACACCTCTCGGATCCTGTGAGCACAGGCAGCATTTGGCACTGCAGTTTAAATCTCTTAATTCAAGACATGTTCTAAAAACAGTAGTGTCACTAAATGGTTTGGGGGTCTGAACTGCATCATCCTCTGTCACAGAGTGAGGAGAGCCCAGTCACAGGCCCTGGAATGAGCTTAAACACACAGTAATTTAGAATTGAGATATATTTTCCTAATCTTTATGGTCTTTGAATTCACTTTGATACCCGCTATGCCTTTAGTATAGAACTTTTAGGCCATTTGAGCATAAAAATATTTCAGAAGGAAGTCCCTTTAAAGAAAAAAAAAAAAAAAAAAACCAAAAATAATTCCCCTTCTAAAGCTTATTGAACTTGCCTCTCTTTTCCCTTTTTTGACAAGATTTTTGAAGAATTTCAGCACTTTTTGAATCTGTTGAACTGCATTATCTCCCCAGTGGAAAACAACTGCACTCTGGCTGTCCCTGGCAGCCTGAGCCTTTCTCAAGGATGAAACCTGTGAGCCTCACAACCAAGTGAAGATTGCACCTGGGTACAGTCCTAGTGTGGTGGCTGTTCCAGGCAGCCCGAGCAGCGTGTGGTCGGGGGCTGCAGCACACCTCCCACTCACCTCCCCCGTGGGGAATGGAGAGCTGCCCGTGACGTGGTGCACCTGTGGGACACTCAGAGGTTACACAGGGATCACGACCAACAGGGATAGGAATGTGCTTACTGGATTTGAGAAGATATAACAACTCATTTTGGATCTGCTCCCAAGTTCCTGTCCACTTTGAGCTCACTGCAGATTCTTTCCATACACAAATATATGCAACCACCGAATGTACCAATAACATTTGTTGACTTTAATATAAATCAATAATGAACAAAATGTCTCTAGTAAAAGATAACCTGAAGGGGAACTGATTGTAAAATGCATATGATATTATTTACATTTCTTTTTGCCATCAAGAAACCTCCTAAGCCACAGTCAGCTCATGTCAAAAGACAAACAATAAAAAAGAATTAGTCAATACACAAACATTGTAAGACAGTCTAATCCTGGAAATGGCATTTGTGGAAAACAGCCTTAGGTTAAACTAAAAGTTATAGAAAAATCATAGCTGACAATTTCCTGTCAGAAACATCTGAACACATATATGCAGAGTAACTTGGGAATGTGAAAAACACAAAGGACAAACAATTTCTCTAGAACACCATTATCCCATGACTCCCACTTCTGTTAGTTACCCAACTTTTCCATGGATGTAAACAAATTTTTCTCTTGCAGTATGCAACAAAAATCAGCATAAACTTTTTTTAAGAGCCATTTCATGCAGATTATGCTCACCAAGTAAGGCAGTGAAGTGCCAGTAAGCTGTGAGGTTTTTGTATCTGTATATACAGTCCATTTCAACAAAATACTACAGCATTTACTTTCGATTTACAGACGTAAATAGAAACTGCTAGTTATGGGGGGTTTGGATAATTATTAGCAGAAGCTTAAGCAAATCAGTGGCTAATTTCAAAAACAGAAGATGAAAGAAGTACTTTTCTACTTTTTTTTTTCCCCTGGAGTAATTCTTGAGACCTTAAAATCCTTGGTCCTTAGGGAGATGAGAACTGTCCTTTATTCAGTAGATCTTAACAGTGCAATGTGCAATAATTCCTAAGACCATCTACACATTTTCGGCAGTAGACTCCAGTAGAGCTCCTTGATTCAAGGAAGGAAGGAAGGTAGGTAGGTAGATTTTTATTTCTTGCCTGCTCTAGTCACGAAGAACGTACAAAATTCCCTTACTTTTTATTAATGATTCCTACAGTCGCTGTCTTGTTACTTCAGATATAAAGGCTTCACACTGAGATACTGAAGGACACTTTTCTCTCTGTGTTCAGTTGAAAGGCAGAAAGAGAAAAGAACGTAAGAAAAGCTTCAAGTGTAGAGAGGCACAACACACAGAGTTCAGTCACTAACAGAACTAACAGCACTAACAGCATGCACCAAGGGGCTCAGTGAAGTCGAGAGAAGGACAGAATGCCAAAGACAAGCTTTACAAAAAGGCAACTTTCATGGGGCACTGAATACTTTGGTGGGTTTTGTCCAACTGCTATTTGAGATTTATCTCTCCCTTTCTATGAACTGACTTCAGTGTTATTTCTTAATGGGATTTCTTTGAACTTTCCTCTTCATGAGATCGGAAAAATAAAAAGAAACGACATTTTTAGAGGCAAAAGGCGAAATGGGAGGAGGTTCCCTGCCCAGGCAGGAGGAAGAACTGCTGGACAGTCCTGGCCTAGCTAGTAAGCGCAAGAGAAGCCAGTTAAGCAAGCAGTATTTACATCTGGTTAATGCAGTGTGCTCTGGTTCTTAGATGTAATGCTGTTAGTTTGTTGTAAATGAAATTAATCTCATTTACATTTTGGGCAGGAAACTCACCACTTGGCCCACAGCTCAGGTAGTGGGTAATAGAATTAGGAGCTTTGTTGCTCCCTAGACCTGCTTTTTGAATTTCTGCTTTCTGGGATAGCTTCCACATCTGCAGAGAAAAGCATTTCAGGTTATTCATTGTGTTTATCAGGACATGAAAAAAACCCCTCATGCATTAAATAAATTCTACTCATTAGGAGAGCAAAAAGATATATAAACACTTTGTTTTGTTTTGTTCTAGAAGAAAGGACAGAGGAGAGGGACAGGAGAAACTGCAAGTGCCTACTGAGCTACACTCACTGACATTCACCTCAACATTTGTAACAGCCAGGTATTATTTTCAAAGCCATGGGCAGTTTTAGCTACACCAGCCCTGCATTTCTGCATGTATGGAAGGAAAAGATAACACTGAGATGCAACCACATCTGACTGACCCTAGCAGAGAACTTCCCTCACTGTATTTTGACCTGCTGCATATGGACAGAAGTATTCACATTCAGTTCTGCAAAACAGAAAATTCTCTCTGCATGCAACAGCTTGAACATGCAAAATGCACTATCTGAATTCACTAGTCACTTAAAGCAAGGCATCAAGCAAACTCTGAACCAAGCAAACCCTGAATTGCAAGAAAATTACTGAGACTGAACAACAAAACCTTTCTGGCCAGCACCCATGGATTTAGAGTTTAGCAGTACCATGCAAAGTCCTAACTTAGCATTTCTCAAGGCAGCAGGGACCAAGGAATGAGCAAGGGCCATGTGTGTTTCACAGCCAGCCATGCGCATGGCCAAGGAGCAGTAGGGATTGGGGATGAAAGCAATTCCACAGATCCTTCCAGTATTTGAGCACAGACCAAGACACACATCTACAAACTTCTTTTTAAAGCATTAATGACCAAAAAGTGGAGAAAAAATGATCCTCCTGACCATGGGAACATTTGCTTTCTTTCATATCTAACAAGCAAATGCTGCTGAGTTACTATTCAGAGCCATTATACATTCCCTTGCAGCACTTTGCTGCTGCTGCTGAACTCAGTGGAGCAAAAACAGGAGCACAGACAGTTATTCTCCTCAGAAGTGAAATGTAATTCATTACAAATTTAGAAAACAATCCAAAGTAGTAGCTTGAACTTGACAAGGTAAGTCCCAAACTCCTGTAGACAGGAGACAGTAGTGCTCAAGGACACTCACACTGGGTTATTTCAAAGGCCTTGGTGTTCAGAGGGGAGCTGGCTTAATGCTGCACCCCAATGGAGTAAGGTACAACACAGGCTCAAGAGGCACTAAATATCCAGCAGAAATATTCACTATCGGCTTTGGTTTATTAGTGCATGAAACAATGCAAACTGAAGGGCCTTGTGGTCAGTGGATGGAAAAGATGTCTTTTGCTGACCAGCAAGCTTTAACATGGCTCCCAGGGAACCTTGGGCAGTCTTTTGCAGCCCATGGCTCCCGTGGGGCTCCAGTGGCCACACTGGGAACTTCCTAACAGATCTGAAGACAATACTGGTAATTTTTTCTAGGTGTGGCAGTCTAAGGATCTAAGCAAGACAAGGAGAAAAGTGCATGCCAGAAAGTGGCTCCAGCAGTCAATCTGAACAGCAGATACCACCTCCAGCTACAACTCTTATTCTGATCAGAACAAGCAATGTTGCTGCAAGGCACAGATAAGAACAAACCAGATCCTGGTAGCACAGTATGAGTTTGTAATAAATGCTCTCAGAGCTAAGATTCCTTAAATAACTTGCAAAAATGCATTGTGCACATGTCGCTGTGGATACCAGAGCTCTTCATCTCCAAGCTAATTTCAGCACATCCACAGATTAACAGGAATGAAGTCAAGTGACACAAGCCAAGACCAGAACACTGATCTCACTCCGCAAGAGTAAATGTGTGTGAAATTAAAATAATAGATCAGACTTTTTTTTGTCTCTTAATGGTGAGCCCATTGTAGAAGGAGCACAGCAATAACTAACAGCTCTCTGTGACCATCACTGAAGAGAGGTGAGAGATTTATCAGCCCAATAACAACGGATGCCTGCAGACTTGAGGGATGGGTGCTCACATTCTGAAACTGCCCCTTCGTCCTCCACAGAATGTCTTCAGACATGCAATCCTCTCTCCTTTCCCCTCCTTGAAATGCAGGGCTTTCTCTCCTGTATACAACAGACTTCCATATGGGCTACCTGCTGCTCTTCATTGAGTAACTGCAGATTTGCTGTCCCTCCCTAGTTAAACACTAAGCAATAAAGCTCAACCCGTGCAGCAGTGCTGCGACTGCCACAACACTGCTAGCAAATAAATTCAACTGTGAAAATCAGAATGTGACGTTATTTTCAACCTTTATGTCCAATTTTAAATATCTTCCCCTTAGCTATATATTTTCATTCAGGTTTTTTATAACATATATGATTTTGGTTCCCATAACTGACAGCAACTATGTCCTCTTGCACCGTAGTGCTCATGTGTAAAGCCCCATGAAATTATAGTTTAAGTCTGATAAGATTTTAAACTCAGGTTATATTTGCCATTGAGAAGTTTCAAGCACTTGCAGAGACAGTGGCATATTAAGTAAGTAGTTTTCAACATTTCTCTGTACCTGCTCATGTGGGATTTAAGAGCTATTTGCTGAATCATTCCTATCCTCCCATGACCTTGCAAGAAACTTGGTTACTCTTTTTTTTTTATTTAACTGTGTTTATTTAGCAACTTTTCTGTTATTTTGTTACACCATTGTGTTTTCTATTGCATCACTGTTCAGTTGAGAAGAAAAAATGAATTTCCACCATAATCAAGACAGGTTTTTATTCCCATACATCACAAGGAGTCAGTAATTTGACTCCTGATAAAACCAAACACTTCACCACATTTGTACCCCAGACGTGGAAACACAAGTCAGACCAAAGGGAAAAGGTGGAAAGGGTCATTTTTTCATGACAAATGCTGAGCATCATGTGACTATTTATCACCTCTTCATAAGAATTATCAGTTCTGTTTAGGATTATGAAGAGTCTGTGTTTATTACTAAGTGTGGATGGTAATTAATGTTTACTGTGCAAGCTAGAGGCACTGAATTATGTCAAGACATGGCATAAATGAAAAGGGTAAGATGACACTGAAATCTCTCTAAATGCTTCTTTTCACTAGTACCTCGTTTTTGAAAGAAGGGGAAAAAAAGTATTTTCACTCCAAGTAGATAATCAATGTGTTACTGATACCCCTGAGAGCTCGAGCACAAC